GAGAGAGAGAGAGAGAGAGAGAGAGAGAGAGAGAGAGAGAGAGAGAGGCTAAACGGTTCCGTGTGGCTGCTCCTCCTCCGCGCGCTATTCTGGAGTAGATCGCGTTACGTCATCACGGCTGAGCGGATTTGATTGGCCGAGAGACATAAATAAACCGTTACGTAGGGCTTACGTAACCACTTCTACTTTTTCCGCCTCCCCTCTCACTATGCTAATTCTTTTCTCTCTTTTACATGAAGGGACTTTCTTTGGTTCGAGTGTGAAAGAACAGCTCATTCATCTTTCTTTAGGTTTGGATTAAATAAAACAATACAAAAAACACAAGTATGATACTAGCCTAGATTAAGCTAGGATTTAGAAATACTGAGGTCACCATGAGTACCCACAAAGCACTCAAACTAAAAAGGTTTGTTTGTTTTAATTATTTAGGTTTTTAATATTAAGGACTGGTGCATTGGTGGACTCAGATCTTTTAATTACAAGTAGGCCGTGTATAAATACACTACAAGTATAAGTCATTCATTTAACATGTAAAACTCCAAAAGCAAAAGTAGTCAATACACAAAATAGCTTATTTCAGAATAACATACAGAATATTATATCATTGGATTATACTTATCGGTGCATTAATGTGCGTATCACTTTATTATATACTGATGTGCAGTTTATAATATTACCATCAATATGTATTTGTTAATTATATTTCATTCATAATCTGGAACTACTAATTTAAACTTCAGAATAAACGCAGTGGAGAAAAAAGATTTACAAGACAAACTCCCAGAAAACCTGAGGTCTGCAGCAACTCTTAGTTTTTAAAAATATTTCTGTTTACCCTTTTATTAAATTAAAGTTGGGATTATTCATTCATTTATTGCATATTACCCTGTTTATGCTGTTCCTTACGAAAAACAACAAAAACAACAACACATGTTTTGAGACCGTCTTTTAAACTAAATCTAATATGGTTTTGAAAAGTCTGCACCTGTTTGTGGATGTATATTATTTATAAATGCTGCCTGATGTTTGTTGGTGTTGTGATTTGGCTGTACAGGATGTTGCATCATAATTTGGCTTAAGTGGCTCAATCCATTTCTCAGTCCGTGCGTCTCATATTGATTACTTAGGTTAAATATGGTTTGAAAGTCAGCAGTAATAACAGGCAGGGTGTTGACAGAGAGAGAGAGAGAGAGAATGACAGATATAAATATAGTTCACCACATCTGTAAACATATACTCAGCTAAAAGTAACACGTCTGACTTTGAAAAATACTTTTAAAAGTACTCCAAAGCAGCGAAATTGCAGCATATAAGGAGGCTTTGTCTTTGTTTCATGCCCATTTATGGCATGTTAAGGATGTACGGAATATTATGTTAATATTCTTTCCTGATGCTTATGCACACTGCTAATTTTGATCGCTTCAACTAATTGCTGTTTGACTTAATTGCACATCTGGCATTTGAGGGTTGCTGAAGTGTTTTCCTGGTCTCAGACGAGCTCGGAGTCTCTCTATCTCATTTCCCTTCTGCCTTTTTAAAAATCATTCACGTCAGATATATTCATGCATACAGAGCAATTGCTCAGTGCTTTGCAGATAAGTAGAAACTGAAAAACACAAAAGACAGAACAAGCACATGACATTTTTTTAATACAAATGACTTGCTGTTTGAGCATTTGAAATTCATTGTGTGTGTGTCTCATCTGTCTCTCTCTCTCTCTGCCAGTGTTTGAAGCAGACGGTTGTCACACGGCAGATGAGAACTGTTCAAAGCTGACTCGTATCAAAGGGCCTCTGGGTCTTTGTAGCGCAGCGTCTGCAACAGGTGACATTTTGGGCTCAAAACCGTTTATAACTTTGAACGCTCGCTGTGAGATCGAACCTCCCCTCAGCCCAGCAGGTACGGAAGGGACAGATCAGGACAGAGGAGTGACAGGGGGACACAAAGAGACGGAGGGAGAGGATGAAAGTTAGTATCCTCTCACTTTTTTGTTCTGCCGTTTGCTGCAGGCCAGCAACATCAGGACACTTCATCCAAGAGCCGAGGTAAACCTTTCAACGGATAAGAGGAACTAATGGCATCATGTGAATAAACTCAGGATTACAGCTTTCCTCTTCTTAGTAGAAAAGGAAGCACTGACATGGTGAGTTTAATGTTCTCTATTAGTGCTGTGCTTGCGTATCCATCTATTTATTACCCTGTGGATACCGTATGTCTATGTCCAATACGTACGGATTTAAATAACATTAGCAGCCTTTACATTTTTATACATTAACACACAATAAATATAACTTGGATCTACACTAAATCACAATATATGTGTCAAGTTTGTCTTATTTTATTGAAAGTGTGAACAAGAAAACAGACAGCCTTTTATAACTTGGTTTATTTGAATGTATATCATGCTTTCTTATAATGTATTTTAGTTTGTAGAATTTTTTTAAAACACTGATAAAAGAATATTATCAGGAGAATATTATTATAATTGCTTCTTTAGACCAGATCTTTATAAAGACAGCGGGTAAAAGATGCCCATGGCAGGCGCTGAAGGTGATTTGCTGTTGCAATTTGCATATTGTTACATCTTTGTTATTGAAAACATGGTCTGACTTTCCTTCACCCTCAAGGCCATGGCAGACCCCCTGTCAGACAGCAGCCCGCTCATCAGTGCAGCAGCCTCCTGTAAGCTTCGTCTGGTCCGCCTGCTGGTGGAAGGTGGAGCTCAGGTCAACAGGTGCAACCCGAGAGGAGAGACCCCTCTCCTGGCTGCCTGTAAGGCCCTGAGAGGGGAGCCTGCTGGGCCTGCGACGGTGAAACTCCTCACCTACCTGCTCCAGAACAAGGTCAGTCTGCAGTGAGTAACATTTGCAATTTCAACGCAGAATATATGTGCTTACATGCTATCTACAGAATGCAAGTTTTCACAGAAGATGTATTTCTAATGCATAATGAATGTGTACCTGCAGTAAGAGAGGTATACGGTACTAATGCATAGTAAACAGGTTCCAGATGTTTCCAGCTCTGCTTGTCCTCCACCCTGTAGAACATAACACAAAGACAAGACAATTATGGATTACATGGAGGATTATGTATTAGAAACTGTCTCATAAAGTGTATTCTTACTTGAGAACCATAACACAAAGCAGCAATGCCAGATAAAGTGTCATCATAATCAGATTACATGTATTTCTAACTTTAGTTTTTCATTCACTAACAAGCTAAATGTATAGACTCACACTGGGCCATTGCTGAGGTTTCATCTTCTATCAACTGACCTCCAATGTGGACCAATCAGGCAGATCCAAATGCACAGGACCGGGCTGGACGCACTGCTCTGATGTACGCCTGTATGGAGCGAGCAGGAGCTCAGGTGGCGTCCACCCTGATAGCAGCCGGAGCCGACCCCAGCATGGAGGACTACTCCGGAGCCTCAGCACTGGTGTACGCCATCAATGCACAGCACCGGCCGACACTGAAGGTCAGTGCGTTTGGTGGAGACTGGGGAAGATGGAGAAAAAAAACTGGAACAAAATAAAGACGTGTGTGTGTGTGTGTGAACTGGAGGTGAACTAAGCTGCCAAAATACTCAAGGGTTAGTTTAGGCTTTATCCAGCAGTGGTGGAAGAGGTACATTATACATTCATCTGTTAGGAATGTTTGAATTATAAAGTAGGTCAAGGTGGAGCTAAGTTATTATAACTTATTTATATACTTTTGGGTACTTTAATCTAGAACAATGCATCATAGTTTATAAATTGATCATATGTTTTGTAAAATCTTAATTTGAAAAGGAACAAGTCTTCTATCAAGTAAATGTAGTAAAAAGTACAATATTTCCCTCTGAGATATATTGTAGTAAATGTATGAAGTAGCATAAAAAGGGAATACTCAACTCAAGTAGAAGTACGTCTATTTTTCCAATTTTTTTCAACAAGTTTTAGTAGCCCACAATTATTCAAAAGCTTTTCCTCCCGACAGATTTGAAGACAAAACACTGAATGTTATTAAATGATCACTATGAAAGTATGTGTAGCTACTAACAAAAACTTCAGTATTTGGCCCCATCAAACCCAAACTACAATCAATACCTCAGCGGCACTGTGTACTTCAGGTGTTGGTGGACGCCTGCCGGGCCAGTGGCCGTGACATCATCATCATCGCCACAGAGATGGGTGTGAACGGCGGCCCGGTGACCAGGCATTACCTGAATGTTCCTCCATGTCCCGACACCTCGCCGGTGTCCTGCATGTCCCCGTCAGACATCGTCCTCAGGACCGGATCACCCAACTCACCCGAAGGAGAAAACATCTTCAACTTCAGAGGAACTAGTGAGTACTGCTGATTGTTAAGAAAAGCAGATTAAGGAACATATAGCCGGCTATTGTTTTGTATGGTGTAGCTCAATTTAAAGTACACTTTACATCCGCCTTTTTGCAACTTGAGATACTTGATACTTGAGGTAACGGATCACAGAGAACAATATGTTCACTTTTATTTTTGTACGAGTCACATTGTCGTTGCATAGATTTAAAGCCACTGAGAGTACACTACATCGGGAACATAGATGGGAAGTCCTTAAACTGCTGAGAAAAATATAAATCTGAACATCTACAGTTACATCAAACTGGGCAACTCCATCTGCCAAGGAACTCTCAATTTCAGCTGAATGGCCCTTTAAAAGCACAACAGCTGTGACATTGGTGAGTAACATTGTGCAAGTGTCCTGGTTTTCTTTTTCACCTTGATGGTGAGATCAGCACCATCAACAGCAGGCTACTTAGTATGCAGACACCATGCCCCTCCTGGATATAGCGGAGCGGTGTGTAACAAAGGCACGTCTAGACAGATGAGAATAAATTCCTCGTGGTTGAAATCATTAGCTGAGTGCTCCTTCCCGAGGAGACGACGTGTCAGGGTGAGGTGAAGCTAACTCTGG